AAGGTTATATTTTTCATGTTTGCTCAACCTTATATCTCCCACGAAATAACTTGTAGGCTTTTCTCACCCCCGGGACAAATATGTAAAATCCTATTTTAACCTATAATTGCTATTCCTAAAATTGAATCTTATACGAATATCGCATTAATTTCAATTTAAACTAACTCATTTACGCATTCGCACTGTAAAGCTCGAGACTCGGAAATATGTGCTATCATGAGCGATAATAGTTATAATTATTCAGCGCAAATTGGGAGCAATTATTCATGAAATGCTTGGAATGTGCAAGCAAATATACATTTGCAACATTCCTGGAATTGAAACATACCGGCAGCAATCTGTCAGCAATTTTACGCGGTCGTTTTTATATCTTTCAAAAGTCTCGTTTAGTCATAAAATCATCAGTTGAAACCAGTTAACTGTTACATATGCATAGACAATGTTATCACGTACCCGAACCAATGTCAACCATCACTTAGTGCGTAATAAACCAAGCAGGCTTATGATAGGTTGGAAACGTTGCATTCCTGGCGAAGCGGCTTTTTGATCAATATGAAATTAGGACACCGATAAGACATATGGGCTCCTTGTCTGTTTATCGGTTCTGATTGAGTATGGAAAAGGTTAGTCATCTAATTTTTCGGCGCTCCAGAAGTGTGTGTACCAATATGTGTATACCAATTGGATAACTTCATTTATTTCTTGAAGGTAGAACATTAACAACATTAAAATTTACAAGAAATCAGCGAAGTAATTTAATTATTATTAAATCGGAATCATTTCTTAGAATAATAATTACGCCGAATTATGGCCTTGTACTGGCTGATAACAGGATAAGCGATAGGGTACATAATAATAAGGCAACTCATGAAATCATACTCTCAATATTATTATTTTGCCCGAAGAAAAAGAATAATCGACGCGCTATTGTTTACCTATTCAGTCAGCGATATCTGGCATCGTACGAGAGATTTTTTTCTTGTTAAGTGAGCCGTGCCGTCGCACCTTAACCCATAAATCTCTTTCGCTGTGTGTTTCCAAGAATTATTGTCGAGTAATTTACCCTAAATAAGACGTCAGATGCGTTTTTAAGGTTAAGGATTTTTTAAGTGGGGTCGAGGATACGCTAGGCAAAGCGGATTCATAAAACCTGTCGATAAGTTCGCAAGCATCAGTCTAGTAGGGCGATATAAAGAGCGCTTATTGTACGGCACTGAGGCTTTCAATTATGCGTTGAAATTAATAACGCCTACGGCGTTAGGTTTCATATAAAAACATAAAGTAATTTGTAACAGAAAATTGAAACAGTTTAGCGTCAGTTATCGCCTTTTATTTATGCGAATGTGTGGCCGTTGACACTAACGTTTTAGAAAATTGCTGTTCTTGTGTTACGGTGTTTATGCCGAGATGAAAGCGATACGTTTTGCGGTAAAATGGGGAGAAAAAACAGGCAAAATTGTTACGCCTTTATGTTAGGATATGATTTACATATTTATCCCGAGTATGATTAGCAAGCAGTCTTGTATAGCTGCCTTGAAGTCAATCCTGCCATGTAATAGATGTCCAGGAGCTAAGTCAGTTGAATTGAAATTGAGACCGTGTATTCATCAATACCCTATTGATTTTATATAGTGATATTAGGGCAGCTAAGCAATATTACCTCTGAGACTTCCGAGGGAAATTGAAATTATACAAAATACAGCTTATTTGTGGAGTTGGATTACTTCGGGTGGAATAAGTTTCGTATTCATTACTGCGAGAGGTCAGTCGATGAAACGGGATATTCATATAACGAAACACAAAGCTTCGTTCGATCATAATTTCAGCGGCCCTTGGCTTTTCAATGGCCACTTGTGAGTTTGCTCAGACGTAAGAACCTTTGAGTGAATACTTGTGGCATTACTTTAGTGAATTTTCGTAAAAATATGGGAATAATAGTCGTATATTGGTTTGATAAGCGTGTAATTGTCAGTTCAGGAGACGCGAAATTATATACCCTGTCACGTTTTTACGCTCGCGTTGCGATAAAAATTAAAAAAAAAATGTTAGTCCGCAGACTGCGGATCGTAATTGGCTTGAATTTAGTTACATTTCCGTCTAGTGCTAGTTTTCGGACGAACCGCGGACGAATTTTTCACCAGAAGGGACTTTGTACTCTTTACGTTAAGGTGAGATTTATATGTTTATCTCGGGAGAGAGGTAAGCCGATAAGACGGCTTAATCATATGGCAAACCACGGCCTCTCGTCCGGTTATTAGTCCATGTCGGGTATGCGATAAGTTATTTAGCCAGTTATTTGTTTCAGATGCATGGACTACACGTTGCCTTTAGTATTACTGAGATCGTTGACTTATTTAGTATCAGCGTCATTATACGCATATATTATAAACTATTGAAAGTACGAGTTACACGTATCGCAAGCAAACTTTCCGTTAATTAAAGATCAAACATCAAGTTTTTATACTTAGTGGGGGAAGTAATGGGGAGCTCAATATGGCCTATGGGAGTCGTCAAAAAAGCTGGGAAAAACTGATCTAGTGCTTACCGGGTTTGGTTATAATATGAAGACAGATTATTTTAGTTTAGAGTAGCACACGGTGGTAGTATGTTGAAAATCTACCCTAACAGGGCCCCTGAGTGGATTTGTCATACCAGGATTTGAAAGCACAGAACAGAGTAGAATGCCGTTCCTCTCAAATTTAATTATTTTCCGTCTAATGGTCGCCAGGTTTGGTAATGATATGAATTAATTTCTATCTGGGCTCGGACTCTTTATTGTGTTACATTCGGTGATAGTATAAACATGTTGCGAATCTAACCGAAATATCTTTCGAGGACGGATACTTATCTGAATAAAGCTCAAGTTATTTTTATTTCGATTTTCGAACATTTTAAATATAAAACACCGTTTAACATAATATTCATAGAAAATGCATTAGCACTGGACACACCTAATATTGTCTTCTAGGTTATTATATTTGCGACAGGCGAGTATACTGGCACCTGGGCTGAATTCCGAGGACCGTCGCATTACATGGTCATGTTATTGACTTTACTTGACAGAATGAAGTATGAAAAAGCTTAATTTGTAATAAATCCGAATGTTATATAATCTAAGTTTAGATTTACACGTTTCTACCGCCCGCTGCGATAATGAATTTTAAAAGATTTGTTCAGAACAGAGAATAATACAGATTTAAATTTGAATAATTTTTTATCTAGTCTAGTGTTGCTTACCGGGTTCGGTTATAATAGGAAGTTATAGTCTTTTAGGGGTTATTCAAGACGTTCACTGTTTTAACAACTTCTTTTGTGATTTTCGTATTTTTTGACCAGGCTGTTGAAAAGCTGAGCATACAGATTGTAGGCTAAAATGCCGAGTTAGCGCAAGTTTAGCATCTTAAAGTATGATCAGAATCTGGTCGTGTATTATTGCCATTTTAGGGTCAAAAAGGGTGATAACGATATGACTACTGTTTTTTTATGAAAAGGGTAATTGAGCTTTTGGTGATTCGATTGAGAGGTAACAGTATTAAAAAGGTTGGGAACCACTGGTTTAGAGTAACGCACGTTGATAGTAGGTAAAAATCCAACATCACTGGACCGGGTGGATCTGCCGGATTCGGAGACCTGTAACAGAGTAGAATGCCGGTCGGCCCGAACTTAAGGTGCTCCTGGAGTATTCGTACCAAGATGGCGCACAACCTGAACATAGTATGTGTGCCAGGTTGTCCAGGTTGCGCGTCATCTTGGTACGAATACTTCCGGAGCCCCGAATTTAAAGCCGAAAAATTTATGCTGAAAACAGTCGGTATTACTTGTCGTTGGATTTACTTTGCTTGACTGGAATAAGTATAAAAAGCTTTCGCCGTAATGAATCCGTATATTTATAACTTAAGTTCAGGTTAATGCAGTTACATTTTGGCCTGAAACGACGTCTTACGCAAACATAAATTCTTTGGTCGTAAGACTTAACTGCAAATACCGTGCGCCTGTTCGCTTTGTGTTACGGTTACCAGATTTTGTGAGTAACTTTCGCAAACAATCGTTTATTTGCTTGGTTTTATGTGTGCACGGAAATTAAGATGTGCTGAATGTTAGGCAAGTTTTGTCGTGTTTTTCTCGGGAATAGGAAAGCCGGGTTCTTTAGTAAAAAGCCTCCGACAACGCTCCAAATAAGAAAATTAGGATTATCCTGTTAGGTTTAAGAATGTAGACTGCGCTGGAAATCGTTAAGTCATTTCTAACCCAACTAGATAGGTAATTAATAGTTTGTTTAAAAACAGGGCGTTTTTTTTTCAAATTTCACATTTTTGCATTTGTGGCTGGGGGCTTTTGTACAAAAATTTCGAAAACCGATAAGACACCTTAATTGTTCATGATAGATAATTCTAAGTCCGACTTTGATTGGCAACCAGACGAAAGACGTCATAATTTTAAGCCGTCTCATCGACTTTCGCTCCCCGAGATGAATATAAAAATGCTTTCCTAGACCTATTAAAGTTGAAGCGACAAATTTGTCTAACAGGAATATTTTTCGCTATATCGTATATGGCGGCAACTGTTAAGTTCAAGACTAATGGGAAGGATATCGACGCGACAAACTTTTTTTAGCGGGATTGGGGAATGTAAACATTTGAGAGTTGCAGAATGTAGGATAGGATTTTTCATATTTATTCAGGGAATAGAAGGTTAATAAGTCGAGTTAATCATACGCATTAGTCGGACAGACTAGTCAATTAGAAGATATGCGATACATTGAAAAACGCAGGTCCCGTGACGCAAAACGAAAAATAACTTGTTATTTTAGACATAAACACACATTTTGTTAGATTATAATCACAATAGTGAAATTTTATGATTACGTCGTCTTGCATTTTTTACGCGCCACTTTTACTTTTGAGTGAGTGTCCGTCCGCTTGTCTTTGCGCGCAAATTTTCTTTGAAATATGAATATTCTACCCTTTATTGTAATTGTATGCTTATTTAATAGCTTTTGGACAGATAAATATAATCGTACATACATATATAAAAGCACTGACGCTGCACCTTCCTCAAGGGTGTTAGCTAATCTCATGAACCCCGAAAGGGAATTACAAAATGGTTGAAAAACAGGACAGCAAAGTTAATATTAACGACACTGGTGCTTTATCCAAAGAAGACATCGACGTGAAAAGTTGTTATTCCGGCGAACAGGAGGTCACAGACTATTGGGATATTTCGGGTGCGATGGAACTATCTCCCGGTGGATCAAATAAAATCAGCGGGAATATGAAACTTCAAAACACCGCAGATCAGACACTGGCAACCGATGCCAATCAAAATATGACTATAATACAATCGGGAGATATTGACAAAGTCACAATGACTGCAGATGATAAAAATGCAATGAATAATAATTCTTACTGTGAAAACGGACCAAGTGCAATTGATAAAAACAGTTTGAATACGAATATTAATAATAATCTTGATATTAATAAAAACAATGAAAGCGGCGTTACATCAGCTGAAAACATTGTTACCTGTTGTGACTCAAGGGACAATTATAACTTAAAGAATCCGAGCGCGGTCGTCGAAGACAGCAATAATAACAAAGGAACAAGTAATGGGACCGTACATCAGAAGGAATTTGATACGGTGGGAACAGAGCACGCTGAAAATAAACAAACTAAAAATGATGTAAGCGACAACGTATCTCAAAACATCGAGACATCTTTCGGTGCTGAGGACAATTGTGTTTCAGAAGAAAACAAAGCGCCTATGACAATACGTGAGGAAATGATGCTCGACGCTGAATGTACGGAAGAAAGGTTCAGAATTGACCGGAAAAAATTGGAACAGATGTTACAGGCAGCCACTGAAGGGCGTGGTCAAAGTGGGGAGGAATTTTTTCAAAAAATAATGGATGATACTAAAACTCATATCACATGGCCCTCGAAATTAAAAATTGGGGCAAAGTCGAAAAAGGACCCACATATTCGGATTTGCGGGAAACCGGATAATATAAAAGAAGCACGACAAAGAATTATGTTGTCCCTTGACACTAAAAGTAACAGGGTAACTATTAAAATGGATGTCTCTCATACCGAACATTCGCATGTCATTGGGAAAGGGGGCAATAACATAAAACGTGTCATGCAAGAAACAGGTTGCCATATTCATTTTCCTGACTCGAATCGCAATAACGCTGGTGAAAAAAGCAATCAAGTTTCTATCACCGGTCATCCGGAAGGTGTCGAAAATGCAAGGCTCAAAATTCGCAATCTTTTGCCAATAGTTTTGCAATTTGAAATTCCAAATGCTGGTATGCCTATGCCTGACCTTAACTCTCCTATGATACAACACCTAGTGCAAGTTTATGGCATAAGTATTCAATTCAAACAGCGTGCAAAAGTGTATTCAACGAGTTGCACTATACGCGGGTCTTCTGATAATATAGAAGGCTTAAAAACAGGGATACAGACATTAATGAGCCATGTATCAGGCGGTCAGCTCCCAGTAACAACTCAAATCGAAATTGCACCTCAGCACCATGCATACATGCTCAGCAAAGCAGGATTAAATGTAACGACCATCATGCAAAGCACGGGGGCAAGAGTAATCTTTCCTGACCCGAACGCACTACCAAAGAAAAGCACTGTCTATATCAATGGGACTATTGAATCTGTGATACTTGCTAGACACAAGTTAATGGGATGTTTGCCTTTATTACTTATGTTTGACATGAAAATTGACACTAACAATCCAAGTAATAATGACACAAGCATAATAGCTCACTTAATGGAATCTTTGGACGTATCCATCAACTTAAAATCAAAACCCAAGCAGCCAAGTCGTACTGTTATCATTAAAAGCATAGAGTATAATATTTACAATATGTTCGAATCGAGGGCAAAATTATTAGGTCTGGACACCAACCCTGTAACTCGTCCTGCAAAATCAACAACGCCGAAACTTTCAAGAAATGCGACCATCCCACAAACTGGTCCTGTGATATTACTTGCTCATTCACATGTACCCACCCCAACTGTTCAAACCCATGTTATAAGTCTGACTGAACCAAAATCAGTGACACCTCTCCCTCAGATGGTTCTTGGTACCCCAAGTTATGTTATCACCCATACGGTACCATCAAATTCTGCCACACCACGCCCCCTATCTGCGGCATTGGTGCACACCCCATCTCACAGCCCCTACCCAACTTTATCAACCCAAAACAACACAGTTTCACGACTTGTTCAAAGCCCCCACATCACAAAAACTGCCCAAGAAGTCTCTCTGAGAAACCAAGAAGAAATAAACAATTCACAGTATGCTATGTTGAATAACAGCATGTCCCCACCGACAAGCGTGCCTATGCCACGCACAGTGCAGATGCAAAACGACGCAGCCCGCTACCAAGTTAATGTAACGTCACCGGAAGAAATGCAACGAAGAATAGATCAGAGATTAAGAATGCCACCTAGTGGAAATACACAAAGTCGTAATTTTCAGTCTGAAAATTATTACCTGTACGACCATGGCCAAGGAATTGTAAACAACCAAAACAATGATTCAAGAAGATCGTCTCAAAATGAAGAATATGAGGCAACAATGAGACAAAGGATTTTAAACATGAATAACAATCGCGCTCAGAACTCAGAGAACTCTTATGAAGATAACAGGGTAATGCTATCACCTTCAAACTACGATTCAAATCTGAGTAATAATTTTGCAAGAAACCCGCTACATTATAACGGTGAATATCCAAAATCTGGCAACAATATGAATCCAATATCAAGCGCATCACCTTTGATCGTTAACCAAAACGAACGTTACGCTGACCAGAATTTGGATCTGCAACAGAAAATGAATGAACATCTGCTAAGGCAAACCGCTGTACATTATGGGAATAATTCTAGGATGCCAGATCAGGGCATACTACACCAGCATTTGGGTATGCAAAACCAACTTAACCCAGTCGAAATGAATAACGAAGTTGGCAACCCAATGAGGATACAAACAAGTCTTAGCTCAACTGGTTCTTCAGGAAGTCAGAGGCAATCTTTCGGTCAAAGTATTCGATCTCCTGATAGCGTTGGTGAATCCAGGACCTCACTAAACAGCGATAGAAACAGTCCAATGTCTACAATTTCAGATCGCTATAATGTGAATTCAAACCCCAAGCTTAGTGCTTATGACCAATTTGAAGAGCCACACCCCTCACCCTCCCCCACTAATCACACAGCTAATTACCAAAGTCTGGCAACTAGGGATATAAACAGTTTATCTCCTATGGCTCACCACAGAAGCCCGCCTCAAATAGTATTGAACCAAATTGGCCAATTTGACGCAAACCACTTGCCAGAAAACACAAGTGATTTAAACGAAATATACAGCCAACAGAACCAAAGTAAGATGAGTACAGGCCCGCCTCCTGGATTTGAAGGGTACACCCCAGCAGTACCTACCGGTAACTTGAAACCTGATTATGAAAATTTGTCTAAATTAGCGCAAAAGGCGATGGTCAAGCCAGTAACCTCGGAGGTACGGACACCAACAGACATATGGGCAGGATGGGGATTTTCAAAATCAATGCCATTTGAAATGAAAGAAGAGTTACAAAAACTGGCATCATCGAAAGGAAGGTACAGAAACAATTTACCAACTACGTATGAAAACGGGGACGAAGTCCATGATCGAAACCAGCCTTCTCCAGTCAATGAAGAGGAAGAATTTAGCTTAGATAACAGCTGTGCATCTCGTCTTAGAGTCCCACTTCCACGGGAAGTCCCAAATCTTGGAAAAGGTAGTTCAAATTTGAACGCTTGGCGCCGACGAAGACTCATCAACATGAATTTATCTTTAGGCGGAAATATGGGGCTGAATTACATGTCAAGTGTTCAAAGACCTCCCCCTAAGAATCACTCTGCTTTTACACCCATACATCCTAACGAAAGTTTGAATCGATCTTCGAGCAGTCCTCAAAACAGCCCTGCGAATATACCTGAACCAGTGTCTCAACCACGTGCTGTTGTTAGTTCACCATTCAGCAAAAGTGGTAACGAACAGACATTGCACGTTCCTCTGCCAGAAAAGCCTAAAAATTATGATTCCAGATCTAATATGAGCAGCACCCCCACTATACAGGATAGTCTTGGACTTAACACCACGACTGGGACGAATAGCAAAGTTGAAGCTGATATACCGGACGTTCTAAACAGGCTTGGACTATCTAAATACATCGCAGTTTTCCAGCAACAAGAGGTCGACTACCAGACTTTCCTAACCCTCACCGAACCTGACTTAAAAGAACTTGGAATATCTACTTTCGGTCCAAGGAAAAAGATTCTCTTGGCTATCAAGGATTTAAACAAGGACAGGGATATATTCAGCGGGCCAATGCAAAACGACACGGCTGTTCATGAAAATTTGAGCGACCAAATGCTACAGGTTAGTCTCCTTGTTTAAAATTATATCATCGCACAGTGAATTTCCTATTTTTGAATATTCATTAGTTCTATAACATAAGTGGATAGGATTTACATATTTATCCTGGGAGAGAGGAAAGTAAATAAGACGGCATAACCATTTGTCAAACCACGGCCTTCTCGTTCGGTTACCATTCCATGTCGAATATGGGATTAGTTAGCAATTATTTTCGGAAGCATGGACTTGATGGTGGAGAAAGCCCTAACTCAATCCGGTTACGTGTACCAACCACCCTACAGAGCGAGGAGTCCAGCACATAACTTCTTGCCACATGAGATTCAAGCCTGCGAACCCAAGCAGAGTAATCAGAGGTGCAGCCATGTTACAAAAAAGCCAAGCGTTTAAAATTTTTTCAATTCAGTCATTGAAAAAGAACTTGACAATATGCCTTCAGGCTGTCTGAGTCAGTCCTCATATCAAAATATTTTTCTATTTTAATTTTGTGAATTAAGCTGAATTTAAATATCTTATCATCATCTTTGAGAATGATTCATTCAAACTTTCGTGATGTGGTTAAAATGCTATTTCATCTGATTATACTTACATGGCATATCTGGCATATTTTTGTACAAATTTGGTCAAAGTATACTGTAAAGGCCTCTACAAAAAGTAGAAAAAGCATTAATATAAGTGTACTTGTAATTCTTTCATGAACATGTAAAGCCAGCGTTTCTCAAACCTTTTATGTCTCATTGCCCCCTTCCGTTGATATTTAGCACGCATGCTCCCCTGTTCATTATTCCAGTGGCATTTATAGTGTTAGTTTGATTGATAGATTTCAAATTCCATTATATTTTAACAATTAATGGTGCTCCCGAAGTATGCGAACCAAGATGGCGGACATCGGAACGTAACATGGGTAACAGGTTAGGGTTAAGCAATAATTTTTTTCCAATTTTCCTTATTTTAGTCCTATTATCAGTTCGAAGACTAGCCAAGAGCCTCCCGTAGTATTTATACCTAAAATTATGGCCTAACCCTAACCTAGTACACATATCACATTCCGATATCCGTCATCTTGGTTCGCATACTTCGGGAGCCCCCAATTAATGCCGTGAAAAATAACTTTATCAAGCAATGAAACTAGAAAGCAGTAAACTAGAAACTAGAACGAGCAGTTTTTTGTCAAGTGAAAAGTAAAAGTTTTTTACACTTAGCATTGTGGCCCCTACAAGTGCCCTGTGGCCCTATTGGGAACCGCTGATGTAAGCTCTCAAAACTCATATAAATATGTATAAATGAATTTTCAACTCCTCTACAATTTTAAACTAGACTGGGAGTTCTTGACCTTTGTTCACTTGTTCAACCTTTCAAGAATTTCAGCAAAAAATTTGCAGATTTTTTGTATTTCACTTTTACAAATGCCTATGATATCTTTTGGGGTTAAAAGGGCTTTGGGAGAATTAATTTCAATGTGGGTGTTGATGGCTAATATCAAATGAGTTCATCTAACTTAAAGTACAAATAATTTATAATTTTTTACCCCATGTGAAATATACCCCAAAGCAGGTTAAATTTACTCCCAAGGGGTAAATGTGCCTGTGGTTGAGAACCCCTGCTCTAGACACCAAGGGCGCATCCAGGGGGGGGGGGGGTGTGACAGGAGGGAAACCCCCGTTTAAAAAAATTTGAGGCAAAATTTCTACGTTTCCCTTGAAATCAACAACGTCATTTTACGGCCAGCGCATTACGGTTTTGCGGTCAAAACGATATTATTCAGTACCGGTCCTTGGACCACAGTTGATAACCACTGCTTTAAAGGGCCAAGAACTCAGTTTCAGAAACCCTTTGCTACGGCGTAGCATGATTCAATACCATATGATATAAAAACTGTCTTCAATTATTACAGCTCCAGCGGCTTCAACTGCAACAGCACAGAGACAACCCTCAAACAAGTACTCCCACTCATCTCGATACTCACTCATTACTCTCATCATCTCACCAACTATTCAACACTCAAGCTCAGATTCAAACTCATCTTGACGTCTCGTCTCCTGCGCTCGATAGAGGAGTTTTTCAAGAAGACACAAATCGTGGTAATGATAGAATGAGATCGAGTAGGTTATGGCAAAATTCGAGGACAGGGATTAGTAATAGCGGGCGCTGGTAGTTGATTTAAATATTTTATCTTACGGTTTATACTATCACCATAACAACGAAAAAATATTTTTTGAGTTGCACGAGATTTATGGGTTTTCCATGTTTGTTGTAATCTTTCTCAAAGCAAATAATTACTTTTTAGTCATAGCCGAGTTTATTTTTTTCCATCCTGTTAGAAAATAGAACCTGAAATTAAAATAAAACAAATAAAAATTCAATACACATTTTTACGGGGAAAAGGAAAGCTGTGGGGAGCCCAAACTAGTTATCAAGCAATGACGCCCAAGGTGGGTTTTAAATGTTTGTTGTAATACTTTTCAAAGCAAATAATTACTTTTTAGTCATAGCCAAGTTTATTTTTTTCCATCCTGTTAGAAAATAGAACCTGAAATTAAAATAAAACAAATAAAAATTCAACACACATTTTTACGGGGGAAAGGAAAGCTGCGGGGAGCCCAAACTAGTTATCAAGCAATGACGGTCCAATATCTAATTGAATTTATTAGGTCAGCAATTATGAGTGATAAGACCACACATAGATGTACCAATAGGAACATTATATAGCATTCTTAGAATATTCGAACTGCAAAAATACGCATTTTTATTTCGGCAACTCTTTAAAAAGAAAAAACAATCGAAACGATGTTTATCTCAATTTTTCTACATTACCAGACGCAATTTACAATGTCCAATTCAAACTTTTTGTTTACACATGAATAAGTTCAAAATATATTTAATATATAGGGTTTCCAAGTCCTAAATTTTTTTTAAATTGCAAAAAGATACCATATATTGTTTTGGCCTGCACAGATGTATTAAATGAAGTAAAAATACTTAAACAATTACTGATTAAAAAACAACAAACCTGGTTAAGATATATTGAGAACTGAATTCATAACAAAATTGAAAATTGTAAAAGGACTTTATGGACTTATTAAAGAATGCATTTGGGATAAAATATTATTTGATTTTTCCCGTCCCTTGCCGTGTGCACCAAAAATACCAAGACCCTTCATTAGGTTTTGTACAATAATATTGAATTTTGATAATAACCTCAATAGAACGATCTTTGCTTTCATTCCATGTCACGAAGGGTTGATAATACTATTGAATGGTGAATATTTACTGAATAGGTGTGACAATGTGAACCTAACAGAATTATTTAGAAAGTTATAAAATCTTTGGTTTTGTCTGAAATAATTTGTTAGGCTTGAACAAATAAATCAAAAAATGACTGGATTTGACCACATAGAGCAATTCTCAACTTTTGGTAGAAAAGTATTTGTTGTGATCTGTAGCGATGTTAAAAATGGAACATTGAATTTGAATGGTTATACTATTTGATGTAATAAATTCGGTACTCCTGTAGTATGTGCAACAAGATGGCGGACATTGGAACGTGGTATGTGTATCAGTTTAAGGTTAGGCCATAATTTCAGGTACAAATACTACGAGAGTCATAATAGAACTGAAATAACGAAAATTGGAATAAAATTATGGCCTAACCTTAACCTGGTACACATACTACGTTCAGGTGTCTGCCATTTTGTTGCACATACTACGGGAGCGCCATGAATTCTTTGTTTTATTAATAATAATACAGATTATTCTAATTTGAGTCCATTTCATGCCCTGAAAACTTTATAAAATCAAATGAAAACTACTGAATGTTTTCATAGGGTCGGATCTCGCCCACCTTTATGGAATGTATCATACATGATAGAGCTAAGACGCGAAATTCGGGTCGGGCCTGAAATGTCAATCATTATGTTCGGGTCAAGTCGGGTTTCCCTATCGCTGACTTTTTTTTTCAATGAGGCGTTTTGGCTACAAGAGATCGTGGTCTGCAAAAAACATAAGTTGCCTCATCAACACGACACATACTGTACTAAACGTTTGCAATGACAATTCAATGAACTGCTAAATAAAGTATGAAATTTCGGATTTGCTTCGGGCTCGGGCCTGCAAATCCAGTTAATTAGTCGGACTTGGGTCGGGTTTAATACTCACGGGCCTGGGTCAGACGGCGCTGAAATTTTTGGGCCCGATCTTACCTCTAATCATGCATAAAATTTTTTGTAGTTCGCAAGGAACGCTTTTAGGACCCTCAGTTTTCCGATACAGTCCAACTTGGCAAATAATAATTTCATGAAAATTCCTGGCAACGCCCTGCTCTTAACTCCCATAATTAATTGTTACACTGAAACCTAGTCAGGCACTTCAAATTATTGAGTGAACTTGAAACACTATTGAGACAGAGTTATTGTTATTGTTGATGTAAATCCACTAGGCTATATGCTGGTGTAGCTAGTTTAAGCTTAAATCGAAAATCAATAAATTGCATCCCTGGTCGATAATATTTTAACAATTTTTTTTTTTTTTTTAAATTTATATACTGTCTGAGGAAGTCTGACTTTAGTCAGACAAAGCATTACAGAGGTATATTCGTGTTAAAATGTGGCTTCTTTGAATCATGTAGGATTGTATTTTCCTGGGAATTAGTTGTCATATACATTTGTGTTCGTGTGCAGCAAGACTCTTGAATCACTTAGGATAGTTATCTTTACTCTTGCTACAGCATCTTTGCATTATATGCATACAGATCCATCCGCATGAAAGCATAGATAAAGGACAAGTAGTTAGTTCCGTAGAAACCTAATTGATAGCTTTTTCAAATCGTATATTGACAGCTTCAATAACCCAAATAGTGCAAAACTTGGAAAAAGCGGTTTTAGGTGGAACATTTTTTTAATTTTTAAATTCCTTTAATTTTTATTGAAATACTTGCCGGTTAATGAACCAGCTTGAAGAGCACCTAATACTAATTTTTTCAAATTATTTTTGCTTTCGCCTTGAAACCGCTAAAATGGCATATTATGAGTTATTTCATAATGAATTTTTTTTTCAAATTTTTTTTGCTTATGCCTTGAAATCTTTGAAATGGCATATTATGGGTTATTTATTCTATATAGTATTGTATACTATAATAGTATAGTGTCCAATTTTCCCCTTTTTTATGAGGTGACAATATTTCATATACAGTATTTATTAAAGGTACCGTACTCAAAGAGCTTTATTATCAAGTACTCTCGAAAATTTTCAGCTCAGACGTACATCAGGCGTGTTGTTAATCATATTTTATCGATTAGTTTTGCCCGTGGGCTATTAGTGTGGTTTAATTTTCGAGCAAGAAATTCTCTCTTGATTTTATCTAAGAATGATTTATTACGTAAAATTTCTGAATGTCTATTCCTAAATAATCTTGAAATCGGGATCAATGGATGATCCTTGAGTTCAAAATAAATTGAATAAATAAAATTGATTTGCAACCGGCTAATATTCCTGACTATTTGAAGCAGGCGTATGCAACCTTTATTACAGAAGGGCTAGATACAAATAACTGGATGAAATCGCGGGCTGTACCTTCATTTAACACAGGGGTCAGCAACCTAAGGCCCGCGAAAAAATATAATCCGGCCCGCGATGCTTCACTGAATTATAGTAACAAAACAGCTGTTTTGATAATTATATTCTTTACGTAGCAGAATTTATTGCGTGACTCGTGTAGACTAAATTATATTATAATCTAATAAGTATAAAATTCACAATTACTCGTTTAATTAGCCTATGATTTAATTATATTTAGACAAATGGCAACAAAACGCAGAAAAGTTGATGCTAAGTGCAAAGGTTTAATGGTGCCGAAATGATTCAAATGGAATTTTTTGAGATGCAATGTATCACTGCTTGATTTATATTATAAAAAGTATCATCCGTTCGGTTTTCAACTTTCTGAAAATATGTGCGGCCCGCCAATGACTTGCAACCCTCAATTTTGGCGTGCGAGCCACAAAAGGTTGCCGACCACTGTATTAACATATGCTTTCTAGTAGTTGCAGGCCCAAGAATTCTGGTTATTGATATTAGGACATGTGGTGTTCGCTTCGCACATGCTCAGGTATAGGCTTTGCGACGCAAATGGGTTTGGAATAACTCGTACATACTAAATTAAAAACTCGTTTATTCAAAATTGGCACCTCTCCACAGGTCGTAGAATTTTTATTCGTTGGCGGCATTTAGGCCACAGGTTGCACACACCTGATATAAAAGTAACTAGCTCATTTACTCCTGCGCAAACGCTTTAAAAAACTAAAGGTGAAGGCATCCATTTCTCATTCTTACTTGTTTCTCTAGTGCAGAGGTGGGTAAATTATGGCCTGCTGGCTGAATCCGACCCACTTGTGTTTGCAAAAATTTTGATTTTTGTTTTCATTGATATAAATTTCTTTTAAAAATATCGTTGAAAAAACGTCATAAAAACTTCGATTGTTCCATGGTGCCTCTTATATAATCGTTAGCCTAGCTGTTATGAAAAAACTGTTTTTTATTCATAGTTTTTAATATTGAGTTTCGAACCTCCGGCCCAAGTCTATTATCTGTAACTGGCCCACTCAAAAAAGTAATTGCCCACCCCTGCTCTAGTGTCCTGGGTATCGTTCTTTGTTTCCAGCTTGTCATGGTTTCAGTATTGGCATTTCAGTGTCCATGAGTTTCTTGCTCAGAAATACATCTACCTCTATTCCTGACTGCATGCTTTTAGCAAATAATCTTTTAAAAAAATATTAAAAACAATACTGATGGGCACAAACAACTTTCAAAATTTGTCATCAAAACTGTCATCGAGCAGTTTGAGTTCTAAATTTGGCTTTCAGTAACTCCTGGCATTTCAATTGCCCCCCTAATGTTTACTCAGAGATGAGTCACCTTTATTTCCGAGTGAGTTTAAAGTATCTTACTTCTAGCGAATTATCTTAAAAACGATTGGAAACAATGCGAATGGACGAAAACTACTTTCAAAATTTGAACAAGTTTGTAACCAAAGCTGTCACTGAACAGTTTTAGTTTGGCGTTTATTTAATTTGATTAATGGCCAATTCCAATCTATAATACAATACTTGTCAAACCACCTAATCTGAGCTTCAATCCATCCATACCCATAGTTAGATAGCTTCATTGTGTTGCTGTCATGAATGTGAAGACCAAAATTATGTATGATGGTGACAGCACATTTGAACCCATACATTTGCACCCGTGTATATCCGCGGGTTCAATCTATATGAGGGTGCTGAAATCCTGGGTTAGGGTTAGTATGGGTTCAAATGTCCGTAAGTCCGT